TTTTTTACTATAAAAGAACTGAAAATTTTTACTCGTGAAAATATTTAATTTTGAAATATTAACTTTTTTACTATAAAAGAACTGAAAATTTTTACTCGTGAAAATATTTAATTTTGAAATATTAACTTTTTTACTATAAAAGAACTGAGAATTTAATAACATTCCATTAAGATATTTTGTTAACTATAATTTCTATTATAGTGGTTCACACGATAAGGATAAGCTTACGAAAATTTTCTACCTAAAACTCAGCTTAATTGAACCACCGAGAGTCAAGATATTACTACAAAATGATCTTGAAAAGAAAAACGAAATATAACTGCATGTACCATACACTTAAATTGAGTGTTTGATCATCAAAATTATATTTTTTTTCTCTTTATATGTTGTATAAATACACGTCAAAATAACACTTTCGTATATTCATTCAGTTTGTCAGAAAAAATTATGAAAAAACAAGCACGATTTTCAGGCAATCTGACCCTCCAGCCCCCTTAAAGGTCTCCCCGGGCGGTCGGATCGGGGGGCAGCGCTTAAACGCCTCTATTAAGGCATTATTATTAGCATCTCGACAATAAGATTCCCCTTTCCGCGCGCGTGTGTTCACGACACCGTTTCCACACCGGTCGTTTTACAGGTCGGTGTGTCCGATCGCGCGTTTTTCGAGATACACTGTACTCTCTTAAAGTGAATCAGTGAATAGTGCCTGATATCAGTTATAAGTACAGCACTGAGCACTCTCAGTACAACACTTATAACTGCAAATCAGTGTACATTCACTGTTTTCAGTAATGTTTCACTTTAAGAGAGTGATCTGACATAAGTAATTGGCCACCAAATACAGTAAAGTGCTCGTTGACAAAATTAAAGTGTAGGCAAGGAATTGTACTCTCTCAAAGTAAATCAGTGAATAGTGCCTGATATCAGTTATAAGTACAGCACTGAGCACTCTCAGTGCAACACTTATAATTGCAAATCAGTGTACATTCACTGTTTTCAGTGATGTTTCACTGTTTCATTTTAAGAGAGTCGACAAGTCTCGCACTGCAGCGGGACCCCGCAGGGCCGCGGAGAACACAAACCCGACCTGACGAGACAGCCTCATAAAAAGCGATACTGTTACTTCCGAGATGCGGAGAACTACCTCCGTTGGTAGCTAACGTCTAATTACACCGCGAGCGAAGAAACGGGGGTGAAAAGGGGCCGCCGCTGATTGCTCGCGCAGAGATGAACGCTCGCTGCTTGACATCGCGACTGGCTAATTGTCGCTGGATTTACGCTGCAGCGCGCAGACAGACGCGCCGTCGTTATCAACGCGCTTGGGCGGCTACGCGCGTGTAATTGTGATAAATTTATCTCCGTACAGAATCGCTCGGGGCGAGCCCGGAGAGTGAATGAAATTAATAGGGTGGGATGCGTGCAGCGCGCGTGTCAACGTTGTCTCACGCGCTGGCATCAATCTGTTATCACGAGGAAATCTCTCCTCTAGACACGTAAATTGCGTGTGTGTGCGCGTCCAAAAAAGTATGTATACATCGTTTCATCCTCAACAATATTCTCTTACATGCGTGGCTTCAAGAGGATTCTTCTAAAAGCAAGAGGTAAATATTCTACACGGAAAAAATTACTTCAGTTCAGATAACTGAGTGGGAACTAAACGAAAAGTTCGCTGACGAGAAATGATATCTATTACTATGACTGAGAATATTCGTCTGAATATTTAGCCGCACTAGAACTCGGCTGAGACTGCTGAACAATTTGCTGAGCAGAAACTTCTCTCCTGTTCTTACAACCGAACTTTTCGTTTGGTCCCCAAGTAACAGAAAATTCCGTTGTGCTAACGGAGTTTCTTCCATGTTAACACAATGTTTGCTTCAAGCAGAATGCCTTTCTTACTAAAAGAAATTTCTATTAAAATCCCAAGACCTGTACGCGTAGATAAAAGAAGTTCTTTTAACCTTAAGAGTATTGTGCTTAAAATATCTTCGCTTTAAGAAGAATTCTCTTGAGATCATACACAAGAGGATTTCTATAAGAAGATAAGAGATATTTTCTCGGGTGTACAAAGAGAATTTGAGGGATCAATCGTGACTATTCATCCGTGGAAACGTACGCAAAATTGCTGTCAATTATACCTCACAGAATACAACAATACACACAAATATTTCATGCATGCGCTTCGACACACAAAAGCGACAAGTGCTCGCGAGAGGATTCCAATCGTGCTCTGATTTTACACGAGATACCCGAGTTATGTATTCGGCTATTATTAAAGGCTATTATTAAAGGTACACGATTTCTGCGGTGTAGAGTGACAGTTTCCGTACGCGGAGTCGCCGGCCAGCTTGGTGTCGAGAACTCCGCGGGTTAAAGGAATAAAACCTTTAATGGCGTGACGAAGAAACTCGCGGCCAAGTCGAGAATCGATCGTCCCGAGGGGCGGAGGATCCCCTCGACCGTGTTACGACGTAAGAAAGTAATCGACGAAAGGACGCTTAAGGAAAGTGGAGCGCCCACTATAATTTGCGGATTTCACTGAAAAGCCTCCGTAAAGTTACTCGTTATGATTTCATCCGCGGATCTATCGTGCTCGTGCTCGCTCGCTCGCGATTTCGCGCGACGTAAGAAAGTGATCATTCTCCTCATTGCGTTCGCTCCGTGAAGGCGAGGTGGCCGCCGATTGTGGCGGAACCGCGGCGAGTTTTCACTCGCGGAGAACGGAATAACCCATTTATCCGCGCTTTGTGTGTTGTGTGTGTGTGTGTGTGTGTGGCTCCAGCTGGCGGGTTTAGATATCCCGCCGCTCAAATGCGCGAGCAATAACGCGGACAATTAGCCGTTAATTGCGAGGGCTCTATTAGAGCTCGCCGTGAGTTCGGCAAGCTACGTGCTTCACGGACGAGCGGACGGATCCACCGCCTTTGTCGATCATCACCATCATCATCACCGCCGCGCAATGACTTTCAAATTCGCGCGCGGATGTGGGAACGACGCTCTCGTAATTAAGCCTGATCAAGGAGATTTCGCACGTGCGAATGACGCGCATCCAACCATCTCGCGTTCCACCGCGAACACCGGATGACGATAACTCCGCGGAGTAGACGTAATGACAGAGTTGTTGAAACGACGATCTTCTCCAAAACGTCGTTTCCGCAGCTCGCTGCGCTTTATGGGGTGACCTGTTCGCCTGTAATTGTACATCACCCGGCGAACGGACAGTTTGCAATGTTTATTGTAATGCTGAGGTATGTCGCATGTTTTATGGCTCAAGTGAGCATCAGAGGTGACTCGCAGGTTATGCGATTGTGTCAAATAAAATCGCGGAAGATTATACGTACAGGAAAGTGTCGTTTTACTTTTACAAAAATACGATTTCTTAGCTTATTTTCCTTTTTCTAAGAGTAATGGAATCATACTTTCAACAAAGAATATTTTCTCGATGATAGTCTCAAGATATACTCATCAAAAATTTTAGAAAAATTCATCATCATACACTTAATAGAAGAGAATTTATTTTTTTTGGAAAATTGTTATAAAATTCAATCTAAAAAAAGTGTGCAGTGAGCAAACCAAATTTTTGTTATAAATCAATATTCTCTAATTGAAAAGCTAAAAAAGCCTTTTATGAGAGTCCAGAATGTATATTGAATAAATTTCATGCTTGTGATGAAGTTATGATAGATTTGCACATATATATATATAAACTCACGAAATACTCGAAACAAGTAACTTCAATTAAATTTCAATTTAAGTAAATTTAATCCAAAAAAAGTTGGCTCTGTACAGCGAGCAAACCAAATTTTTGTTATAAATCAATATTCTCTAATTGAAAAGCTAAAAAATCCTTTTATGAGGATCCAGAATATAAATTTCATGCTTGTGATGAAATTATGATAGATTTGCACATATATATATAAACTCACGAAATACTCGAAACAAGTAACTTCAATTAAATTTCAATTTAAGTAAATTTAACCCAAAAAAAGTTGGCTCTGTACAGCGAGCAAACCAAATTTTTGTTATAAATCAATATTCTCTAATTGAAAAGCTAAAAGTTTTTTATGAGGATCCAGAATGTAAATTTCATGCTTGTGATGAAGTTATGGAAGATTTGCACATATATATAAACTCACGAAATACTCGAAACAAATTTATTCAATTAAATTTCAATTTAAATAAATTTAATCCAAACAAAGTTGGCTCTATACAGCGAGTAAACCGAATTTTTGTTATAAGTCAATATTCTTTAATTGAAAAGTTAAAAAAGCCATTTATGAGGATCCAGAATGTATATTGAATAAATTTCATGCTTGTGATGAAGTTATGGTAGATTTCCATATATATATAAACTCACGAAATACTCGAAACAAATTTATTCAATTAAATTTCAATTTAAATAAATTTAATCCAAAAAAAGTTGGCTCGGTATAGCGAGTAAACCGAATTTTTGTTATAAGTCAATATTCTTTGATTGAAAAGTTAAAAAAGCCTTTTATGAGGATCCAGAATGTATATTAAATAAATTTCATGCTTGCACTGAGAGAAAAATATAGTCACTTTTGGTGTCAACTATACTTTCTTGTGATTTTAACCAGAAAAATAATTAGAAGAACAATTTTTCTAATAATATTTATTAAAACAATGGTTTTTCTAACTATTTTTATGCTTAAAATCACAAAAGAGTATAGAGTTGACGCCGAAAGCAACTATATTTTTCTCTCAGTGTGTGACGAAGTTATGATAGATTTGCACACGTATATAAACTCACGAAATACTCGAAACAAGTAACATCTACTTAAATGCAGCATGCATTTTTCTGCGCACGACCTGGCTACACCTGTTCAAACGTCAGCCTAATGCCTAAATGTTCCTTCGCTGGACACTCTACGTAATAAAAGGCGATCGCGATCGATCGAGGCCGACGTATCGTCATTCTCACTCACATCGTCGCGTCGGCGATCAACATCGAGACGTCCGCGTCTCGCGAGAAAATCGCTTACCTGGCTCAGGCCTTCCTCGTGCTGGTGCAATTCCGCGGACGTTCAACGAGGTCGCGCGCGACGCATTCCCAAAATTCGCGCGTTCTCGCGGAGCGGCTCGAGGGGGATCGCGACTGTGTGCGAGACGGAACGACTGCGAGACAACACTTGCCAGCTGACGTCTCGCGGCGGACTGACATTCGCGCACGTTGCGCCGCGAGAAAAACCGGACGCGGACGAGCGCGGCCGATCTCCTCTCCGCGTTCGAGAGTCCGCGGCGGCGGCGGGAGCGGAGCGAGCGCGGTCGTGGGAGTCGAATCGCGCCGCTAGGTAGATTATTCGGTGAAACGGCGGCCGGACGGCCGGCTCTGATATGGGTGGTGGCGGTACCAGCCACGGTCGGGACTGTAGCCGGGCCCAGTCCTCGTCGTCCATCTATTTCGTGATCCGACCACATCGTGCCCGCATCGTGAAAGCAGAAAAAAAAAGCACGTGGACGTTCCACGCGATGGCATCGGTGACATCTACGATAAGGCCGAGAGGAAAAATGGTATTTCGCGACAGAAGGGAGAACGGAGGGAAAGAGAAGAGAGAAATTGCAGTGGACTGTAGAAATTCGTATCGCGAGAATATCGCTCTGAAGCGAGAGGAGAGAGAGATACACAGAGAGGGAGAAGGAGATAGACTGGTCGGTCGCTGAGAGCTGTCGCGGCGAGTCTTCGTAGAATGGAGTAGTGAGCGCGATCGTTGATGGTAGATGATCCGATAGAATGAGAAGGGATAGGAGGATGGCGGTACCAGCCACGGCCGAGACCGAGCTTGTCCGTCCTCCATCGCGGGCTACAGGTTGTTACAGGGAAGGTGGCGAGGGGGGCAGGAGACGGAGGGGAGAGAGACACGCGTATTCTTATGACTTCAAGGTGTCTCTCTTTCTCTCTGGCCGTCTCCCATTTCTCTATCTGTCTCTCTTGGTCCCCGCGCGCTAAATAGATAAGAGGATAACCGGCGCCGCGCGCGAGATCGTCTCGAAACAATCGGCCGACGATAGTTACACTCCATTTTCTATTCATAGCCCGCCGAGCGTTACGCGAGGCCGAACACAGCTCACCGGGAGATCGCTATAATCCCGAGGAGTTCAATTACCGACACTGTCGATGCGGAAAAGCGAATTGAGCCTCACCTACACACGCGGCGGATCGTCGCGATGTGAACTCCGGAATTCGCTTTCGCGGGGAGCACCGCCTCCCACAGCCGGTCAACAAAGACGCTCGAAGCTCTTGCGGATTTTACAAGAGGAGCAAGCATCGCGATATTACCGATCCGGAAGGGGTTTTTACTTGCTTGTTAAACACTGAAACAGACATGCCACGCTACGGACTCATAAGAGGCCCTTCAACTCATAAAAGTGTGGTACTACACGCAGAAAAATAAATGTTGCGTTCAAGTGAATGTCACTAGTTTCAAGTATTCAAGAATAAGTTTACATATTCGTAAGTCTACCACTAGTTCTCATCATAACGGGCCCATCGAATTTATTCAAAGTTCATTCTGAATCCTAATTCTTATCCTAGCAAGCATAATATTGCAATCAAGAATATTAAATTCAAACAAAAATTCGGGCTGCATACAACATATAAAGTCGACTCAACTTTCTCTCTGATAAGGTTTTGTAATATTTCGGTAAAGAGAACAAATTCCTCTTTTAAGTACATACATAAGAAGAATATCATACACTGAGAGAAAAATTACCTTAAAATCAACAAATATTTCTTTGATGTGGGTGCCATTATCATATTTATTTAAATCTAAATTCTTTTTATGTAAGTCAAATATTGTTTAAATCGGGTAAACAATATTTGATTTAAATAAAGAGAATTTAGGCTTATAAGTAAACATGTCAATGGCACCCATCAAAGAAATATTTGTTGACTTTAAGGTAATTTTTCCCTCAGTGTAATTTCTTTTCTTCTTCATATGAATTCTTTGTAATTTTACAGTGTCGTTAACTACTAGTTAAAAGAAGGAAAGTAAACCGAGTAATCGCATTTCTTGGCAGTAGAATGGCGTTTTTCTGTGTACAAAGTTCCTAGCCAACATTGATAAGAAGAAGCTCCCGTTGCGAGCAAGATCCGACTAATTACACGGCTGAAATTGGCGATTTTCCCCGTCGCGATCGTGGTTCCGACAATTAGAATCATTCCCAGGTCGAGTAAAATCTCCGTGGTCGCGGAGACGCACGGGATAAAGCGGCGGCAAAAGTCCTTTCCGAGGATTTCGTAAAAAAGTCCGAGTGAAATTCAGGGCGAGGCTCCGCGCGACAAAATGCGCGTGGCGAATGCAGTTCTACGCATTTACCGGCCGTAAACGTGAAACGTTCTTCGCAGCGAGCGACTCCACGCACACATCGACGTGCAGACTCGCGCATACACACATACATACACACACTGAGAGAAAAATGTATGATATTTGGAACTATAATGGCATAGTAAAAAGATTATAGTTAGGAATATAATTTTTATAGTAAATGTTACCATAATATTTGCAATATTTACAATATAAGCATAGTATACTGACCCGTGTAAAATTTTCACCAAGAATTATAATTATTTGAAATAAAAAATATAGTAAGGTAGCAAATATTGAATGGTAAGAGAAATTAACTATTTTATATAGTCAATACGATTGGAATTTTATACAGTCAATACGATTGGAATATTTGGCAAGTATAGGTACATGTAACTATATTCCCAAAAGGTGCTTTATTATATACATAGAATAATAAGATGGTGACTATAAATGTGTATTCACTCTGCTATATCTTCGTGTTTAGATAAACTATAAATATATGTTTGAGGCCAAAACGAACTATAAAATATAGTGAAATTATAGTAATTCCAACTGTTCTTTCTCTTTCAGTTCACTGAGAGAAAAATATATGATATTTGGAACTATAATTGTAAAAAGATTATAGTTAAGAATATCATTTTTATAGTAAATGTTACCATAATATTTGTAATATTTACAATATAAGCATAGTATACTGATCCGTGTAAAATTTTCAACAAAAATTATAATTATTTGAAATAAAAAATATAGTAAGGTAGCAAATATTGAATGGTAAGAGAAATTAACTATTTTAAATAGTCAATTGGAATATTTGGCAAATATAGATACATGTAACTATATTCCCAAAAGGTGCTTTACTATACACATAGAGTAATAAGATTGTGACTATAAATGTGTGTTTATTCTGCTATATCTTCTTGTTTAGATAAACTATAAATATATGTTTGAGGCCAAAACGAACTATAAAATATAGTGGAATTATAGTAATTCCAACTGTTCTTTCTCTTTCAGTTCACTGAGAGAAAATGTATGATATTTGGAACTATAATAGTAAAAAGATTATAGTTAGGAATATCATTTTTATAGTAAATGTTACCATAATATTTGTAATATTTACAATATAAGCATAGTATACTGATCCGTGTAAAATTTTCACCAAGAATTATAATTATTTGAAATAAAAAATATAGTAAGGTAGCAAATATTAAATGGTAAGAGAAATTAACTATTTTATATAGTCAATTGGAATATTTGGCAAATATAGGTACATGTAACTATATTCCCAAAAGGTGCTTTACTATACACATAGAGTAATAAGATTGTGACTATAAATGTGTGTTTATTCTGCTATATCTTCTTGTTTAGATAAACTATAAATATATGTTTGAGGCCAAAACGAACTATAAAATATAGTGGAATTATAGTAATTCCAACTGTTCTTTCTCTTTCAGTTCACTGAGAGAAAATGTATGATATTTGGAACTATAATAGTAAAAAGATTATAGTTAAGAATATCATTTTTATAGTAAATGTTACCATAATATTTGTAATATTTACAATATAAGCATAGTATACTGATCCGTGTAAAATTTTCAACAAAAATTATAATTATTTGAAATAAAAAATATAGTAAGGTAGCAAATATTGAATGGTAAGAGAAATTAACTATTTTAAATAGTCAATTGGAATATTTGGCAAATATAGATACATGTAACTATATTCCCAAAAGGTGCTTTACTATACACATAGAGTAATAAGATGGTGACTATAAATGTGTGTTTATTCTGCTATATCTTCTTGTTTAGATGAACTATATGTTTGAGGCCAAAACGAACTGTAAAATGTAGTGAAATTATAGTTATTCCAACTATTTTTTTCTCTCAGTGCACACCGATGTTTCTCCTTTACGAAGCCGGCTGCTATCAGCGTGGTGCGTATTTAACTACAGTTTTGCGAGAAATAACGCCGAATTGCGAAATCATGCGAGGGCGTTCGGCCGCGTGACCGCGAGTCATCATAAATCATGCGTTTCTGCGCGCTCATTCCTTTTTCGCCTGCTCCTCTCCGTTCCCGCTTTTGTTAACGTCGGAAAACCCGCTACCACGAATCACCATGCACAAAGCAATATTAATGAGCCTGGCGCAGTAAACAATACGCGCTAATGCACGTCATGGTGAGCACCTTTGAGTGACTTTCAACGTCACTCACACGCTGGACAATCCGTACGAGCTTGCGGACCAAGGATCTATTTTGATGAGAGACAAACTCGACGAGAAGGAATAATTTGAAATAAACGGCTTTTTTAGTGTCTCAGACCGCGACAGTTATCGCTCGAAATTCTTGGCTATTCTTTATTTGTACGGTCAGGAGGATCGCGAACAAACCGAGCCGAATAACGAAAACATTTCAGGCCTAGTTTCGACGGTAAAATACAGATGTAAAATCTTCCCGTCGCGCCAGAAGTTAAAATTAACAATTTCAGGTCGACTGCTTGACCGCGATGTTGTGTCAAAACAAGGTGATTCCGTCTCCTCGAGAGATCGAAAACATATATCCCGGTCGAAAAATGAGGAAAATTGTCGGGATTTCGGCGCGCCGATCAGCGTGTGTCGAAACGCAATCCCAAACAAAATATACCGCGTTAAGGCTGACGTCAAAAATGAGAAAATGCATGCTAAAAATCTTTGTAAAATATGTTAAAATAAAAATATATATCCATAACACTTATAAGTAACACTTGTAATCGATTAAACAAATTTGTAAGATATTCCGTGCACTCCTCTTTTGCTCTAACAATCAATAATTTGTCGTAAATTGACATACAATCTACCTTCTTAACCTATTTCTTCGCCTATTTCTAT